GGCTCTCTGGTTGAAGTTTATAGAGTTATTGAAAAAGTAACTTTGCTACAACTAAGAAAGTTTTGTTAAACTATATCCGAGCAGCAGAAAAAATAGAAGCTTGGTTGAATATGCTATTCTATATAATATAAACTTCTACACTTATTACAGTTGATGCTTTAAAAATCCTTTTTCTATTTTTTTCCAAAAATTTTTTATCAAAAAGTGGGCAATCTAGTTTACTCTCATCAAAATCAGCATTATTGATTCTTTCAAATTAGGATTGTTTACTATTTCTATTCGAAAAGGGCCCATGTTGTAGATAAAGCACAAGTACATATGTCTTGAAAAAAACACAACAATGAGATGAGATTGAAGATTTTTGGCAAAAATGAGATGATTGGTTGAAAATATGACAAGTGTTAAAATATAAGATCTGGTAAAAAGCATGATAAGTTATACATGAAGATGGATCTAGTGACAAGGAGTCAGGATGTCCAGTACATAAAAAATTCTCTGCCAGTTCAGTTTTGGTTGAATTGTTTTCCTTAGAATATAAGCTTTAGTATTAAATATGTTAATTAGATAGAATTAAAGTAGAAATTACTGTATTTAGTAACATATAATTTTTAGTAGGCTGACACAGTCTTTATAATTAATGACCATTTGTCTGGCCTTCATCAGCAATCTTCTTCCTTTTTATTTTTTAATATTTGTTTTTTTTTATATCTCTTTTCTATGCATATTTTTTAGTATATTCCCTCTCAACAAGAAATTTTTTTTTAGTTTTTTATTTTCCTACAAATGAATGATATCAGATTGGTGCTGTTCAATTATAGGGTAGCAGACAAACAAGCTTGATTTAGACTTTAGCAGATCTGGTATAGCAGGTCACTCATAGGTGCAATTAGGGTAACTGCATGATGATAGCATGTGGAGTTAGATATAGTTCTATTTGTATACTGTCTGTACTAAACATTTATAAATAAACTTCTGACTAGTTGACCATTGTGGCTGCCAAAGATAAAAAAAATATATATATATTAAAGATGATAATTGTAATAATCAGATTAAGACTAACAAATTTTTTTATTACTTATTACAAGATCGAAAAAATTCTTATTGAACAGACTGATTTTTTTATAAAAATTGCAAGTATCATTTTTATATTCTTTATACTTTTTATCTTAGATTATTATAATTACTAATTTAAACTACAATTTATTATACAATTACCTCATAATTTATGCATCACTAATTGACTACAAATTGCTCTAAAACTAACTATCACTATCTTTATAAATTAATTAATTAATGACAATATAATTAATGCATTAGAAATTACTTGGATTGAAATCAGTTAATTTGGATTATAGCACCTATTGCAGGTCTAGGTTAGGGTTTTTGATTATAGTGCCTTGGATCACAGTCTTGATCATAGATGGCTTGGGTTATAGTCTTGATTGTGAGTAGCTTGGATTGCAGTCTTGATTGTAGATGACTTGGGTTGTGTTCTTAAATATAGGTAGCTTAGATTACAGTCTTGACTATTATATTATCTTCTTCTTTTAACAGCTTTTCTTTTGTTTATTCTTTACTCCCTTTAGGTTTTGATAAAGGTCTCAGTTTATTTAGGTATTGTTAATTATAAGCCTCGACTGCTTTTTAGACATAAACAACATTCTTTGCTAGTTCTCAAAAGCATTTGTTGATATTATAGCCTTTTTAATTAACTAGGTAATATACTTTTTTCTGAATAATTTTGAAGTTAAGTATTTTATTTATCTTATATTTATTTTCATTCTTAACAACTATAATAAGTAATAGTTCTGCTAATCTTTCAGTAAATATGCTGATTGAATAAGGTTCTAATAGAGAGATATAAAAAGTATTGTAGATTCTAAGAGAAGAAAGTAATATCAAACAAAATACTACTGGGCTAACTTTTTTAGAAATAGTATAGAGACCTAGTCTTTGGTAGTTCAGATTATCTAAAAGGCATATAGTGTAAATGTTATAATAAAATAGTCAGACTTTGTCATACACATTAAAATTAAACTCTTTTGTTAACATTGATTTGTCTGTATCTTGTAGCATTCTTATACTATTGCTAATTCTTTGGTAAGTAATTATCTTATTTGTTGCAATTGAGTGGTCTTGTCTTCTGCAAACAGAACTAAAAAGAGTAATGATACCTAAAGATTAAAATTAAGGTAAAAACCATAGTTGGCAAAAAAAAAAATTGTCTTGATAGATGTTGGGTTAAATTGTTATAGGCAAATTTAGTTAAAAGAAGCAAATCATTCTAGTTGTCTTGGTGGTAATTAATTATACACCTTAGGTATTGTTCTAACACTTGATTTACTCTTTTGCTTTAATCATCCAACTAAGTATAATAAGCTGATGATAGATTAATTTTTGTTCCTATAAGGTTAAACAGTTGTTTTCAGAACTTATAAATAAATTGAGAGCCTCTATCTAATACTATATTATTTAGAACTTCATGTAATCATGTCACCTCTTTCAAAACTAGATAAGCTATTTGCTTAGCATTGATACTTTTATTGCATGCAATAAAGTATGCCATTTTTGTTAATTAGTCAACCACAACAAAAATTAAATTAAACTCTAATAATAACAGAAGGTCTGTGATGAAATCTATAAAAATAGATTGTCATTTTTGCAAGAAAATAGATAAAAAGTAAGTAAGCCATAAGGGCAATGTCTAGAAAGTTTAGACCTGATGCAGGTATCACAAGATTTTATATAATTCCTTATATAAGTTTAAAATTTTAGTTACTAGTAATTTCATGATACTAATTCTATAGTTTTAGCTATCTCAAAGTAATCTATTAGTTTTGAATCATGCCTCGAGTATAGCACTTCTATTTTTTCTGTTAGGTTTGATACATACAGTAGGTCTTCTCTATATAGAAGATTATCAATATATTGAAACTTATAATAATTAGATCATAAGCTCTAAATGTTCTTGTTAGATAGTTTAAATGTTCAACCATGTCTAGAGTCAGAAAGTTGTTTTTTAATTGATTATAGATTTGATTTAACATAATGATATTAGTTGGTATTGCATAAGTAGCATCTATGTGAAGGTTTTGAGGCCTCAATAATATAGTATGTTGTTGCATTACTATTTCATTACCATTTTGAGATTAATAATTTGGTCTTCTAAATAAGGCATTTGATTTACTTTGTTTCTTTTCTAACTAGAATATAATCTTGAAATTGTAATCTGAAAGATGAAAAGATCATCTGGCTTGGCAATGTCTAAGAATTTTTGTAGTAGTAAAATATTGTAAATTTTTATGATCATAGTATACTGTGATTTCATATTGTGCTCTTTCTAAAAAATGTTGCTACTGCTTAAAAGTAGTTATTATTGCAAAAAGTTTCTTATTGTGTTTATTATAATTAATTTCTGCAGATATAAATTTTTATAAATAATATGCAACAGAATGAAGTTTTCTTTTATGCTTTGGTTGAAATAAAATCACCCCTAAGGTATAATCTAATACATCTGTTTTTAAATAATATAGTTTGGTTAGATCAGTTTGGATTAAAACAAAAGCAGTTGTAAAAGCCTTTTTTAAAGAAGTAAATGCAAGTTAAGCTAATGGGATTCAAACAAATCCTTTTATCTCTTTTCTTAGTTTTCAGGTAAAGTTGGTTAAAAAGATAATTAGTTAGGTATAATTTTTGATAAAATGTTAGTAATAGTTGGAGAAACCTAAGAACTGTTGCATATTTTAAACTAATATTAGTATAAAAATACTTTTTGTCTTATTAAGATTTATTTGAATCCTCTAGAAGGTAATGCAATATCCTAAAAAATCTATTTTCTTTTTATCAAATTCACATTTCTTCAATTTCGCAAACAATCTGTTTTTTTGTAAGCATTCTAATACTATTTGCATATTATAATTATATATTTCTTAATTAGATGAATATATCAAAACATCATTCAAATAAATAACAATAAATTGGTTTAGAAAATCTCTAAAAATATCATTCATTAAGTATTGAAAGATGACTAAAGCATTAGTGAGCTCAAAAGGCATTACTAAGTATCTGAAATGTCTATACTTTGTTCAAGAAGCTGTCTTTCATTCATCTTCTAGTTTTATTTATATCAGATTATAGGCCTCTTCAAGTCTATTTTAGTAAAAACTTTGGCAGTAATAAGTTAATTTAACAATTCTGATATTAGAGAAAGTGAGTAACAATTTTTAACTGTAATTCAGTTTAGGCCTTAGTAGTCAACACATATGTGCAGAATACTATTCTTTTTTTTAACAAAAACTACTAACACTTCTGCTGGCAATTTTGAGTAGCAGATAAATTCTTTTTCTAAATTTTTCTTAATATATCACCTTAGGTTTTTAAGTTCTTATATAGATAATTTATAAATAGGGCTTTACAAAGGTTGCATGTTAGATAATAAATTAATCGCACAGTTATATTAATAGTTTTTAAGTAGTTTATAGGCTTCTCTTTTACTAAAAATATTACTAAATTCTTGGTACTTTTCTGAAACCAATAAGGATGGCCTCTTGTTAGCATAGTAGGAGTCAACTGTCTTAATAGAAAAAACTTGAACTACAAAAATTTGCTTTTTATTAATAGAGCTAGTTCCTGTAGACAAAAGAAGATAAGTGTTACAAATTGGATCTGAAAAAGTGATAATTTGTTCACATTACTTAATTTCAAAGTTATGTAGTATTAACTAGAATAACTTTAATATTATTTTGTAATAAGAAGAAGAGATAAAGTTAAAGATTATTTTCTTATAATGATCTTGCAAATGTACAGAAATAGGCCCAGTTTTATGAGTTATAAATCCTAATAAAAGCTCTTAGCCATCAACTATCACTACCAATAGTAATATCTCTTTTTTGTAAATAAGTAAGTTAAGTTCTTAAACTAGAGCTAAATCTAAGAAACATGCTAAAGCTTCAGAGTTGATTAAAGCTTCTACACTTGTTTAAGTTTTATTTGACAAGTATATGTATAACTCTGATATAAATACTGATACAAGACAGTTGTTGAGTAGAAGATATATAGGGTTTGAACTAACAATATAATTTAGTTACAGCTCCCTTACTATAACTAAGGCTGTTTTTTTTTTGATAGTTCTTCTGAAGAAACAACAGCATCAATTTTTGAAGATATATTAGATTTTTTTAGACAGTTTTTGACAATGTAACCTAAGTTACTACAGTAAAAACAGAGATTATTTGCACAATATTATCTTTCTTTTGCTGCTAAAAGTGACTTAATCCTTATAATATTGATTTGCATAGGATCTGCTTTGAAAAATGCTTGCCTAGTGCTAATCTAAGAATAGTTTTATCTTGCTAGAAGGTTTTATAAATGTTCTTGCCTATGCTTATATAGATAGTTGTCATACTTGACAGCTTTCAAAATAGCATTGTTTAGTAATATTAGGTCTTCTACTGAAAGAAGCAAGTTTTTAATATTACTGTGAAGCCTACTTTGAAATTGGTCTATCAGCACTGCTTTGTCTCAGTCCAAATCTTCTGCAATTTGCCAAAACTCAAAAGCATACCTTGAGGCTGGTCTTGTTTTTTGAACAAGCTTTCAAATTCTATTGACTGCAATTCTAAACTTTTTTAAGTTACCAAATATGGCTTCAAATTATTTGATCAGGTTTTTAAAGATTTCAAGTAATGATAATTGTTTCTTTAGAAGTGAGGCAAACTAGACAAAAGCTAAACCTGTTAGTAAGCTTTTTAGTAGACCTACTTGCAATTAATTATTAAAATAACAATTAAGCAGCATCTGTATGACAAGACATACTTGGTTTAAAAACTCTTTAAAATTTACTCAAAACCCTTCAAATTTGTTTGAAAGAATAACTTTGGATTCTTTATATTGGTTATTGATTCTTTTTTGTACTTAAAGACAGTTTAAAGTATTTCTAAAATCTGCATTATTTTGTTGCAGAGCTTGATTGTTAAGTTGAAACTAAGTTACTACAGTTAGTATATCACAAAGATCAGATTGGTCTTCTATTTTGTTTGTTATTTATATTGTTATTTGTTTTTTATTTTTTTTTATTTTTTTTTATTTTTATTATTATTATTTATTATCTAAAGAACTAATAATAAGAGAATCAAATATTTTATAAGTTTAGAGAACCTACTACACAGATAGACTATTGTTGTTAGCTTGGTGTTGCTTCAAAAAAAGAATTAGTTTGTTTAAACTATAATAATCAGATTGAGACTAATAGGTTTTTTTATTATATATTACAAGAATAAAGAAATTCTTATTGAACAGACTAATTTTTCTACAAGAATTGCAAGTATCACTTTTATATTTTTTATGCTTTTTACCTTAGATTATTACAATTACTAATCTAAACTACAACTTATTATACAATTATCTTATAATTTATACATCACTAATTGACTACAAATTGTCCTAAAACTAACTATTACTATCTTTATAAATTTATTAATTAATAATAGTATAATTAATATATTAGAAATTACTTAAATTGGAATTGGTTAATTTGGATTATAGCACCTATTGCAGGCTTAAGTTAGGATCTTTGATTATAATGACTTGAATCATAATCTTGATTGTAAATAACTTGGGTCATGGTTTTAATTGTAGATATCTTGGATTGCAGTTTTGATCATAGGTGGTTTGAGTTGCATTCTTAAACATAAGTGGCATGAGTTATAGTTTTGACTATTACAGTAATATTATTTTAGTTATTACTAATTGGCCTAGTCAATATATTTAAGAACAGCTATATTATAATATTTTAGTTATAGTAGCTTTTTTGAAATTATTAATAAAAAAATTTTTTTTTAATAATAAATTTTTTGCATATTTTATTGAATAGTTGTAAATTAATTTTTTATAATATTAACTGTTTTTTTTTAAAAATATACAAATATATATTTAACAAAAAGAAAAGCTTTGTTTAAAAACTAAAGCTATAGCATATTAACTTATTGCTAAAACTTTCTTATAATATGTAACAAGAAATTGCAAAAATAAATAAATACTTAATATTTAAAAACCTATTAGATAATATAATTTTATTGTTTTTTAATATTTATATAATATTTTTTTAAACAGAAGTGTGATAATTTAGTGAAGTAAATAGGTTGTCAACTTCCAAATGACAAGTTTAAAATTCAAATCCTAGTAATAATAAAAATTTGCAATTCTTTTTGTATTACAGTTAACTGTCTTTTGTGATTAGTTAGGATTAGATATTTGTAACTTGTGTCATACTAGCATGTCTAAAAGGTCTAGACATTTGTACAACATTGTACAAAGAAATACAAACTAGTACCAGATAGTATAAATCCAAAATAAGTCCTTAGAGCATATAAATCACAAAAACCAGATAAAAAGATAGAAGCTTACTTGGAAGATCTAAGTAGAAAGATAACCTGAACCTTTGATGATGCTACTATAAAGACTAAACCTATAAAATAGAGCTAGAACTTGTAAAACCAGACAAATGTGTTGGTCTTTGAAAAGGAATCAAATTAACCAACTAGGCTGCTAGAATTTTCAAATTTTAGATAAAAAAGATACATGCCAGAGAACATATAAACCAGAGGTACAGTTATAGCCTACCTTTCTGAGCTATCTGAAATGGCAGCTTAGTAAAACTTAAATTAAATACCAAAGTAGTAGAAATATGTTGTAAAGTTGGTATTAAGGTTGAGATAAACTCTACAAGAGCATAGTAGTTTAATAATATGCTTTGATTATCAGTATTAGTCTTAGATATAGCAATACTAAGTTAGCTGTAAGAATGAGATACAAAAAATTCTGAAAGGTTTAGTACAAAATCAAAGGTTTCTTATATAAGTAAACTGCTTTAAAGACTTAGTAGTCATGGCATATTTTCATCAGCATTGGCTAGAATCATTAGTAGGCAAAAGTAAGTAGGTAGATACAAAAACTAAAATAGTTAAATAAGAAATCTACAAGCAGGTTTTAGATATGGCAGCTAGTGTAAAACCTTTAGACAGACTACTTAAATTAGACAATAACTAAAGTTGTACAAGTGACTAGTTGTACACTCTTTTTATAATTGCCCTCTGTGGTTGTAATGCAACCATTAGCCAAATATACTATCAATAAAATCTTGAGTTACAAGTACTTATCTTAATATTTAAAAAAAAAAAAAAGTATTTTTTTAAACTAACAATTTTAGTTTTTATTTTGAGTTTTGTTTTCAATTTTGGATAATTATTTTTAAATTTAATTATAAAAATTATTATTTTTTTTTTCTTTTTGGCAAGCCATGTCTTAATATTTATTTAATATAATTAAAAACTATAAAGGTTTCTAAGCCTACTTTAACAACTAAAGAAAACTTTGTATAAAAAATACTAAACATCTATATTAAGACTAAACTGGTTATTCTAATAATACCTATTTATGACCTACTATAAAGTAGATTTAATTCAACTTTGAAGACCAGATATTTTATTCTTTACTTACTAGTATTACTATATAAGTTTACTTAGCTTGTTATGTTTTCTTACTTATACAGTTAAATATTACCAAACTGATAATATTTTTCTATATAGTGAAAAGAAAAAATAAAAATACTATATATAAGAAATGATATTATTTTATAGTATATACTATATATATAAGATGATAAGACATAAAAAGAAAAAAAAATAAAGACAAATGTTATTTAAGCTACTATCTTCATAGAGCTAGAGACTTTTGTAAAAATTGTATAAAATACTGATACTACAATATATTCTATATCTCTAAGATAATAATCTCTATTCTGATAATAGGTGTTTAAATTTGCTTTTGATTATGTTTACCTTGACATATGTATCATTGTTTACTATTGGGTTGTTTTGTAAATATGTAGTCATTTACTAATTTGAATGTAATATTGTTGATCCTTTTTTTTGAAAATAAGCTGAATCCTTACAAACAAAAAAAAAAAGAAAATCCAAAGAACTAAAAGAGATAGATGCAAAAAACCAAATAGAAGTAAGTGAATATATAAGTATTTGTCTTAGTATAAATACTGCAATATGTTTTTTCTTTTATTTCTAAACTTTAAACTTTATCAAACTTCACCTTTTTAACTTTGATACTTCACAAAACAAACTTTTAACTAAAATATTAAAGCTATTATCTGCTATAGCTTTTGCATTTTATTGTTTAAAAGGTTTTATATGACTATATACTATGTGCTTCTATTTAGAACTAATATTTTACTGAGTTTTTTTAAGTTTAGTACTTGTTTTATAAAAAAGTCTTTGCTTTGGTATTGGTTTTAATGATTAGCAGAAAGAGTTTATTAATTACAAAAATTATTTTAAAAATTATTTTAGATATTTTTTATTAGCAATTTTAAAAATTATTTATTTATTTTTTTTTTAAAAGAGAGGTCTATCCTCTATCTCTTTATTAATTAGTTAAATTACATATATAAGATACATGTTGAAGAAACTAAACTAGGGGAGATGGAGGTAAGAGCTACTTTACTTTTAACCTATTCTTTGCTATAATAGTCAGTAAACCTCTAGTCTTTGATAAGGTAATGAAGAAAAGATTGTCTATTAGTAATAAAGTATTGTATTTTTTTATTTAATACCAATATCAGAGTCAGTTTAGTTTTAGCTAATTTTGGAGGCTATAAAGGTAATAGATTTGGAAAAACTGAATTATGTTGTACTGCTCTCAAGGTAAGCCAAAGCTCTTTATATATTGTAGTAATAATGTTGTGATGTATAAAAGGAGCATATTTATTTTTTTGTTTGTTATTTTTAAAAGATGCCAGTGTCTTAGTAGTTATTAGTTTCAATAGCATATGCTTATTGATATGGTTTGAAATAAAGGCTTAAGTAAATTTATGTATTTTATAACATAGTATTTTCAAGTCATTCAATGTTTTCTGCACTATATCTTTTATCAAGATTGCAAGACTTGTATTGTTTCAGAAGCAAGTTAAAAAGTATATTATATCTTCTGATATACTATAACATCTTGAACAGAGATAGTTTGGATGTTTGGTAGCATTCTTTCAATAAAGCAAAAGATAAGTGAGTAGTTCTTCTAAAAGTAGTTTTATTTTAAAGTTTTTTAGTACTAAAGAGAAAAGATCAGTCACTAAAGTAAGAGGTTTTTCTTTATATGATATGTATTGCAGAGTTAGTGACCAGTTGATCTTGT